ACCAATGCCGAGAACACACTCCCCACCGTCTACCAGCCGCCCTCTTGCAGGCAAACAACGCAGTCATGGTCCTCCTTACCCTATTCTCTATGTTTTCCCTCCACAGCAGCTTACTATCCCTAATCACGCCCAGGAATCTCGCACAACCCGCCCGCCAAACACAGTTCGATTCCCGTCATCCTAGGCAGGGCAAAACTGTGCACCTTCCTTTTCCTCGTGAACAACACCAGCTCCGTTTTTACGGGGTTCACAGAAAGATCGCATCCTCGCGCTTAACCATCCAGTATATCAAGACCCCCCTGCATTATTGCACTCAGTACTTCTGGGTATTTACCCGAGACCAGGATTGCCACATCATCCGCATAGGTAGTAACTCTACATCCACTATCCCTCATGAGCCTAAGATAACCCTTCCTAACCAGGACCCACAGATATGGCGATAGTAGTAGTAAGCATTTGCTCTATCCATTTGATTATGTCCTCCTCTACTTCTACATTTTCGAGAACCCCCACTATTGCCTCAACCTTTACATTATTGAAAGCACCCTCAAAATCCAAGAAAGCAGCCAATGTATACTCCTTGTACTGCAGAGACACCTCTACCTGCGTGACCACCGCGTGCAGCGCCGTCTCCGCAGATCATCCTCTTCTGTAGGCATGCTAGTCATTTGACAGACCCGACTCCCATTCCTCATTCCGTATATATTTTTCCACTAACCTCTCCATGGTCCTCAGCACAAAAAACGACAAGCTGATTGGCCGGAAATCCCTCGCGCTGACATGACCACTCCTACCAAGCTTCGGCACAAAAACCGTCCTTACCTCTCTCCATTCTCTTGGGATATACCCCATATACAGGCAGCGACGAAAAATTACCACCAACCAATCAATGATTACTGTCGGTGTCCTCCGCAGCATAATAGGCCACACCCCATCCGTTCCCGAAGACTTGTAGGGGCCAAAAGACTTAATAGCCCACTGTATCCTCCCCCCCGTGAAAATTTCTTTACCTAAAGCTCGTACAGTCTCCCTTGGACTTTGCTCTTCCTTTTCCCTCGGGAATTGATCCCGAAAAGTAAACCTCCATCAGCTTCCCCAACGTTTCTATACTAGAGCCAGCCCAAGTGCCATCATCCCTTTTAACAAAACCAGGTACCAGGGGCTCCCCCGATAGTAGTTTCCCTAATCTTGCAACTTCATTGGTATTTTCCAATGACGTGCAATAGCTCCTCCAAGACCTCCGTTTGGACTACTTATTGTGTACTTAAAAGCCCTCAGTTCCTTCTTATACTATTCCCACATGGATGAGCTGCTGCCCCGCTTCGCCAAATTATGTAGCCTCCTTACTTTCCTCCTGGATTCACTCATTTCGTTACACCACCATGGTCTACCACACTTTGCAGGGCGGCTAATTCGGCAATTGACCTCGAAGTCCCCCCTCATATCCGCACTCAAACACTCAACCGCATTGTCCACTGACTTACCTCTTCTTATCAGTTCATGTACCGGCCTAGCCATGTCAGATTCAAGGGCCGCCCAGTACTCATCCCAATTTTCCCTTCGGAAGTTCCTAAATGGCGTCCCCATCTCCGGTTGCAAATTTATCCTAAAACGAATCCAGCAATATGGAATCGATCCAGCAATATCCGAGATGGAAGACTCTTCCGATACTATCCAGTTACTGACCATTAAGGTCCCTAAATTAGTAGCCAAAGTAAGGTCTATCACCTCACTCCTATTCCTAACGACTCACCTCGCCGATTAACATTCGAGCTTCCCCATAGAGTGTAGTGCGCATTCGCATCACACCCTGCCAGTAAATCGTGTCTCCACATCCTGCCTCGCTGTCGTAGGGCATATAACATGAGATCAGAAGAAGAGGCAAATCCTTCTTCTTCCTGTCCCGCCTCACCACAGTTGTATCGCCGTCAAAAAAGTTATCTAAAAGAAAAAGTTTTAGTTCCTTCCTGACGAAAATACAGGATCTCTGTCTACTTACTCCGATTTTGTAATACAGGACATAGTCCTTAAGTCTCAGGCCCCGTTTTCTCCCCTTTCTATCTAACCACGGATTCTGAATGAGCGCAATGTGGATGCCATTAGCGCTCATGTATCCCACAAGATTGCCAATAGCGGTCCTATTGTGATGGAGGTTCACTTCATCCATCTCCCGAACGGCCCGCCCTAACAGTCCTAAGCATCACCTTTAATAAGCTGAACCTTACCAATCCGCCATTATTCTCTATATAGGGCACCGATTTCCTATTTATGCTCAGAAGGAAGTGTTGTCCAGTTTCCTTCCGAGGCTCCTCCCTAACCACAGTCCAGTCCTCAGCCCCAAGCTTCCGATTCTGTGCAATCAGTAGCCTGAGGATCCTCTCCGCTGCAACGTAGGGTTTGGGTATCCACAGCCACGCTTTCGGCCCCGGTACCTACCAACATCGGACCTAGGGATAGGCCGTAGTTTGGCCTCCTCCCAAATGCCTCCAAGCTTCGGCAACGTGTCCTTCAAGAACTTCTTGGAAACCATGTTGGAGCACGCTACCACCTTGTAGCCTCCATCTCATCCAGCTCCATCGAAGATGATTTCATCTGCTGAGCCAGATGAAAACACCTCCAGTAGCTCATCCTGGATCCTTTCTTCCATCCTTTGCCATTTCCCAAGATCCAACCGGCCTTCCGGGTCGCTCTCATCCACGATGGCAACCTGCCTCACATCTCCCTTCTGCGAAGCTGTGCCTTTCGCTTTCTCTTCTTATGGAAGTGGTCCCTTCTAACCTCGACTTTGCCCTTGGTTGGGTGAGCCACCTTCCCCTCGGATTTCGCTGCAGCCCCAGCGGATTCCCTAGCCCTGTTAGGCGCACCGGAACCCGATAAAACCAGAGCAGCCAGCGCAGGCCTCATTCTCTCCGGAATCATGGGTTTCGCAACCTCTCTGATCTCCGTCGAGCCCAGGATCGTCTTCGCTTTCTCCATCTGCTCTATCTCTCAAGGACTAAGCTCCTCCGGGGTTTTGAGCGATAGCCGCTGCAGCTTGCTCCTAGCACTGCGTAATTTGTAAACGGATTGATCCTGCTGAAGCCAACTTCACTGACGGTCCTGGTGCTAATGCCACCGTCTCCCGACATCGAAACGGAGTCAGTCTTACTGATGATGGTTATGTCACCACCATCCTCCGTCCCAGAGCTCGAGCAAGACCTCCCGTTGTGAGTTGAATTCTGAGCTAATCTCAAAATCCTTCTCACCCAGGATCATCGTGGATGACGAAGACCGCGATAGCGCCTGCATCTCTTAGTCGGTATTCTATTCAGTAGAATTACATTCTTCAAGGCTTGTTTCCACTTTGAAGTACGGTCCCACTGGCGACTTAACACCACTTTTTATAAAGTATTATTAAAATCACGATATGTATGACAAATGACGCGCCTTTCACCTGCAGTAGTTTTTTGCACAGGTGAATTACAGGTGACGCCTTTTTCAGGTTTTGAACATCTCAAAATCAATATTTATAAATAATATTAAAGAAGTGCAAAGCAACAAATGTTGAAGAAAATGTTTTTAAATGAATGTATACGTATTTAACAAGACTGTAACAAAGAAGCGCTCCAATGCCAACAATTTAGCGTTCTTCTCAATATCGAATTCCACGTAAAACTATATTATGATTAATGTTTCTATTCTATCACCTATACTATATGAATTCTTTACATACTGCTCAAATAAGGACGGGAAGAGGGGATTACTTATTTTTTTAAATAATTTCGATAAAATTTTTTCGAGAAATAAATAAACTTTTCCAATTATTATTGACATAATAATATATGTATGAACTAGAAATATAATTAATTAATATTGAAAAATCAATATAAATATTTCACTTTTATTATACAATAGTCAATAATAATATTGAAGAAACTTAAATATAATCTTATCGAAAACTATTAAAAAACTTCTTAAACACAATGTTTGAACTCTTACTCAAAACGAAAAAAAATTAAATAATCAATATAATTCTAGTTTAAATTAAAATTACATAAAATATGTAAATCCCGAATAATTTTAATAGCTTCGTTCTTTTTATAAGAATAAAACACACCAAACGCAAAACAATAGCGATTCGAAACAGTCACCACTAAATATAAAAGAATAATTGACACCAGTAGTAATAAATATTTATTCCGATAGATAACTTAAAATTTTGTGAATAGAAAATAAATGTCAAATTTTCAATCGCATTTAAATTTGTAGGTTAATTTTTACTGACCGCATTGTGTATACAATAAGATAGATACCACCTAACTTTTAGAAGAAATCATGTTTGAGCAACTGGGCGTTTACTACCGGCCAAATATACAGTTTTGCGTATATAAAGAAAAATAATCGATTTTATTGATTAAATTCAATATTTAAGTTGGAGGTATTAAAACAAGGAATCTTTAAATTTTTTTAAAAGATCAGGGCCCGGAAACTGATCTGGTGCCGATTTCACATGTTTTACCATATTTACAGAAGGAATTTATGAAGGAATTTGTTGAAATCTAATATTTGAGTTCTGGTTGTTACCAGATGTTACAGACGAACTTTTCGTATAATTTGAGCGGCACAAAATGAGCTCTTTTAAAATTCAAATTCATATTTTTCTAGTTATGTGAACTAGAAAAAGCTTATTAGTGTCCTTAAAATTGTGAAGAAGTATTTAACAGGCATTTTTATAATATTCTGTAACACTTTCACTTAACTAGGCAATATAAATTGATGTCGGTTATGTGCTGATCACATCATTTTTTATCGAATATGCATAAAACATGTAGGAATGTGTAATGTAATCGAAATTGCAACAATTTTTCTTGTTAAAGTGTGATAAATAAATCAATGAATGTCCACTTATTGGCTATCATTTTTACATTTTAAGTATTATTTACAAATACCGATTATAAGAGCCACTTATGTACAAAATAATTAAAATAATATTTTATTTACATTTAAACACCTTATCACTTTAAAAATTAAACTATAAAAAGTAGTTTAAAATTACGAACCTTATTACTTATTTTGTAACTACGAACGCCATAACAAACGCAAAGTCAATTTGGATTAATATTATTTTCACAATGCGAGGTACTTACAAGCTTGAATTTTTTTTTTCTTGTTTCATATTAAGAGATTATTTACATTAATTTAAATTTTGTATTTTAAAGCTTTTATCATTGGATTTTTAGCTACTTTGGTTATTGCTAATGTAAGTAAAATCATAACACAAATGAAGTTTTAACAACATAGTTTTACTTTAAAAAATTTTCTATAGGTTGCTAGCGCAGCTGAAGCTCCAATACGTCATCCTAATTGTCCATTAAATGATGATCCAATAAATCCAACTTTATTATCATATCCAAAAGATTGTAAAAAATTCTATAAGTGTTCTAATGGTTTAGCTTATCCGCTAGAATGTCCAGCTGGTTTACATTGGAATGATAAAGCAAAAATTTGTGATTGGCCAAGTGTAGCCAATTGTATACCACAAAAATTTCTAATGAAATTTCAACAAATAAAAGAAGTAAAAGAAGGTGGTATTAAACATAAAGATTGCCCAGAAATTGATGATCCACAACGACCAAAACATTTACCATATCCAAATGATTGCACAAAATTTTATAAATGCTCATATGGTTTAGCTTATCCAATGAATTGTCCATTAGGTGAACATTTTGGTGTTAAAATTGATAGATGCGATTGGCCAATAGTTGCAAAATGTGATCCTAATGCAGAAACTACAACCGAAAGTACAACTCAATCTACAACTGAAAGTTCAACTGAATCTTCAACTGAAAGTTCAACTGAAAGTTCAACCGAGTCTACAACTGATTCTACAACTGAAAGTACAATAAATCCTACCGGGTCAACACCATCAACGACTCCTGAACCATTACCACCAGGTATTGATTGCAGTAATGTTCCGCATGGTACCCTTTATCCGCATCCAGATGATTGTCAAAAATTCGTTCATTGCGATAACGGTAGAGGTGCAGTCAAGCATTGTCCAGGAATTTTAGAATTTAATCCAGTTCTTCTAGTTTGTGATTGGCCAGAAGTTGCTGGTTGTAAAATAAAACATTAAAATTTAATAACAAAATATTTGTTAAAATAATTTTTTAAAAACGATGAAATAAATATCTAGAAATTGAATAGTGTTATTTTAACCTCAAACTTTACCTTCTTGTATTAGGAATAAGAAAATTTTTATTTTAACTTTCTAACTTTCCTTGTGTTTCCGTATTAAAACATTGTTAAACATTGCTAAATAGAGCTTTATCGTAACAATTTTCTCAATAGAATTTAAAAATCGTGTACGATATTACCGAACTCAAAGATTACGTTATTTTCCTTAATTATTCAAATAATCATTTCACAGCTACCTGAACTGTGCTATCTTTTCTCAACTTAACCTTTTACATAAAAAAATTTTAAACTGTCCTTTTTTCTAGTTACCACTTTTTCTTCTGTACCTTATTTTTTCAATTTTACCTTAAAAGAACAATTATTGTATTTTTTAAGTTTATAAATATTCCAATTTTACAAGAAATGTGACAAAAAATTTATAAATATTTTACAAGAGCAAAAGCGAAAAAGAGAAAGTAAATGTATTTTTATTACATTTTCCTATTCCTACACAAGCGTTTTTTTTTACTGAGTACCAAATTCAAAATATAGGAGAAATAAAAAGACCGAGCATTTCATAAGATTCCCGATTAAATTTCTGAATTCTTACTATTTTAATAAAGAAAAACCTTATATAAGAACACGCGTTAAACCAAAAACAAGTTCGTTTTTTTTTATTTTTCCCAATTTAATCTAATTGTTTCATTATTGGTTTTACGAGTAAATAGAGCAGAATGATTTCAATAGAGTTTTAAACGAATTATTTTAATAAGTCATAATCGAATAAGGACGGAGCCCTTTTGCGGTACTAGACTAAACAAAATCCATGTGGTGCTAAGAAGCGAAGTGGAGGAAAAAATGTTGGAACTATGGAGGGCGCGTCCATAGTGCTTCGGTAATAAAAAGGGGCTTTTGGACAATTACAATCAGAATCGCTTTGGTGCGATCGTAATAATACGAGGAGTCGTGTGAGACTTCTCGCGGATTTGCTGACGGGAAGAAAAACCTAAACAAATTGAGCTTCGGAACTGAAGGGTCTTGCAGGGTCGGTGGGAAACCGAAGGAGACACCGCTATGCATCTTAATTAACGTGAAGCGTTGATACATAAAAGAAAGTACAGCTTGAGTGGGTATGTCGTTTTGGGATATTTCCCCGGAAAGGTTGCTCGGATTTATCAGAAATATGGGTCTCGATAATAGTAATTACAATAAATATGCATACACACCTATTTTAGTCTTAAAAATTAGAAAAAAAGAATAAATTTCCATTGAGAATTTTTTATTTGAAATTCCGTGCAACCGATAATACTTTCCATATCCTACACAGTGCAATAAGTAATAATGCTGAAAACCGTACCTACTCATTGAAATTTTTAACCCTTCCACATAATGCTGTATTAAATACCGAGCAAAATTAAATCATTTTAAAATTACAAGACGAAGTATGTATATCTTATACAGTTACATACATAAGTCAAGGACCTTTGTAAAGGTGCTTTAAAGAAGTTAAAAAAAAAATCATTTTATTTTTATTTTTTTTCTTTTCTTCCTATACCTGTGCAAATAAAAGAACACAAGCCCCTATTGTATACACTAAATACATAGTTACACAAGAAGCAGTTTTAGTGTTCTTCTACTTCCTTCTGTTTTTCATTCATATTCTTTATTTTAGGATTCTTACGGATTACAGAATGAATCTAAATAAAAAGAAAATATGAATTAATAATAATATAACTGTAAAAAAAAATTTTTTTTTTCTTTTTCTTTCTTCATAGAATATGAAATTTTCTCAAGGAAACCAAATTCAACATGACAACACAATACAAAAGGAAATGAATGAAAAAGATTGTAAAAGACTTTAAGCATTGCTAATACCATCAACTACAATAAATAACAGTATACGTTTACATAAGTGTATGCATATATGCACTTTAATATTACAGGTATGTACATATATGTATGCACTTTTGTCCCCTTTTACGAATTGAATTGAAACTAACTGTACTTATATACTCCGATCGTATACGATAATATCGCAAGAGTGCAATATTTCGATTATGAACAAACACTTTATGGTTTATTGATTCAATGAACGTAATCAATATACTGATGGGTTATTATTGAGGTACCAAATATATTATAAAATATACATATATTTTTTTATAATAAATAAGTGTAGCCACTCTTTATAATGCATGTATGTATGTATGTAAATTTTGAAGTCATACAATATAAAAACCGTTTGTGATTAAAAATAATTGAATAAAAATCTGCGAATTTGCCAGAGTTTACAGGCAACTTGAATAAGCTTGCTACACCTTTAAGAACGCCTTTGCGTTGTGTATGCCACCGGAATTAACTGAAGAATTTTTCAAAGAATTCAGATAAAATAAAGCTAGCCAAATTTCCATTTTTCCCTTCCCTTCTAACAGCTTCTAATTTCAATTTTTCTTATAAGTATATAACTATATAACTAAGCTTTCAAATGTTCATTGGGATATTTTCATAATGATGTGCAATAAATCCGTCAAACCAGAAAATACATTTTGTAATTGGTGCTAAACACACCAGATTTCTTTTTTCAATGACTTCATCAAGCTTTCAAGATTTCAACCCTCTTTCTTTTATGTTGTTTTTTTACCTATACCAATTAAATATCCTAAACATTTGTCAATTTTTTGGGTCAGGCCATAACATAGTTGATGATAGTATTAAAAACACTTTAACAAATCTTCTTAGACGCGATATAACATTTGATATGTGACTAACATATAGTTTTCTGTTAGGCGTAATCAACCATAATTTTCCTTTCACAATTTCTTTGTACTTTTAGATTTTTTTTTAATTAATAACGAAACGCGACATTACTTTTTTAACACAACCAACGAAAATTGAAGAGATTCCCAAATTAATATTATAAACAAAATTTAAAGCAAAAAAATAAAAAACAAACTAATTTTTTGTTAAATTTATCTTATTTAAACAATTTAATTCAATTAAGCTAACAATTTGTATAAATATGTATAAATAGAGAAAAGTAAAATTAGCGCCTATCTAGAAATACAAGAAGAAGTAAAGCCATAAAAGCTTGAACTAAAAAAAAAAGGTTAAGCTAGGTTAAACTTTAAAATTTACTTACTTATATTTTATGAAATTTTAAATTATATAGAAAATTGTATAACAATATGTTAAACAAATTAGTTATTGAATATCACAAAAATTAAATAAGTTGCTAAGTAAAGACTGTAAACATAAATTATTCGACAATATGAATATAAACTTATCAACTTTTAAAATATATAATTACTCCGAAAATTTTCGGAAACATTCCGAAAAAGAAAATATTATTCTTATTCTAATTCTCGGAATTATTCTAATTTTCGGAAACATTCCGAAAAATTTTTTTACTATAATAACTCCGAAAAAATTCAGAAATCTTCCATTACTTGAAATTTTTAAAATTTTGTAGTTTTGTATTAAGAAAATACACAAATAAGTATTTCTACCAGTATCTAATAAATATACTCAGAACCATCTCTATATTTTGTAAAATATTTAAATTGCCGAGCGTACTATAAATGGCAGCATAAGCTTGTTAATTCTACTATTTGATATTACATATTGTTGATCCAATTTTCTTTTAACTCATATACATACAAATAAATTGTATGTATAAAGAGTGAAATTGCTTTATGACAAGTGACATTAATTAACAGCGCTCCCTATATATACATACAGATATTAAAAGCAAACAAATAATAGATTTTAAAGATGATAACAATAAAAAAAATTAATTTAGCTCGCTCATACTTCAAAAATACAAAATATAGTTGCAAAGATTTCATTGAAGATCGCATTAATACGGTATTTCATCTTATGGTGACGATCTTAAATAAATTTTTAAAACAAAATATCCACATTTTATTTGAAATTTGAAAAAATGCAAAGTAATCACGAAGCATTTCTTAATTTAGCAAAGAAAATTTCTTTGGCTCATATGAAACAATATGGAAATACTTGGAAGTTATACGATAAAAATGCAAAATTTTATTGCACACTTGAACCGGTATAAATTCTAAACTATAAAATTTTTATTTTAAAATTTATTATAGACCCAAATTAAAATATATTCATATAAATCTAGATCAGCTTAATATAAATTTTTAGAATTAGAATAACTTTCGTACTCCTAATTTTATATTCACAGGAAATTTTCAATGAAGTTACTGAATATGGAGGAATAACACCGTATATGATTATATATCCTGTATTATTGCAAGTTTATAGTGAAGATGACCAGATTTTTGATAAAATATATTTATTACCGATATTTTGTGTTAGAAAAGCTGATAAAATCAAAGAATTTAAATTTTTTGATTTAACAGGACAAGTATACAATGGTAAAAACTTTTATAAATTACAAAATGTACTCAATTTTATTATTTTAATTCATTTTTTTGATAGATGTACAAGATTTTATTGAAAATAATCATATGCTACCTGGAAAAATCGCTTTTCCAAAAGATTTTCATTATGAATATGATACAGAAAACGATGAAATATTAATTGAATGGGTTCATATCGATACAGAAAAGAAATTAGATGACATGAATGCAAAACGTCATAGTAATTGGTTTAATTTAATTGGAACTGCTGGAATAACAGCTGCTTCAATATTTGCTTTAACATGTTCTGGTGCTTTACCAGCTTGTAATTTTATTTATATTTGATTTTATTTGTTTTTTTCTTTTATAATTTTGTTTCATTATATATAGTTGGAGTAATTTTAAGTGCAACATTACTTTATGGTGATGATGTAAAATGTGATCCATTAGAAAATGATCCGATTTTAAAAGAAGGAGAGAATTCAGTTAAATTATTTGAAGTAAGTTTAAATCTATTTGCTTTATTTTATATAATTTTTGAGTTAAATATAATAAATTTCCAATACTTGACTTCATTAGAATATCAATAATATTTTCTTTCAAAGTCAAGACGTGATCTGAATCAGTTTCCTTAAAATACGTACATACATATTGTACATTTAATATTTAATTATATGTATTTCAATTTTTATATAGGATTACCATGTTTTATTACCAAAATCTTATGAAATATCAAAATGTACGGAAATGCCAAATTTAAATATTCAGCGAAAAATTATAATAATAGCTGGACATTTTCTCAATGCAGCCAAAGATGAAATACAAAATACAGAAAAATTATTTCAAGCTATTAATAAAGAGTTCGGATTTGAAAAAGAGAAGTGGCAGGTGAATTGCACTATTTTTCAACAAAAAAAAATTTTTTTTTACGAAATTTAAATTTTACCAAAATTTAAAAAATTATTTTATTCAAGGTTTTTTGTGGGAACGATTTATGCTTATATGACATTAACCCAAAACCAAAACATTTTATGAACGTGAACATTCATGGATATGATTTTGTTATATTTGTTCCAGGTGATTCCTTTTTTTTAATTCCTTGTTATCATTATGATTCTTAAAATATTTTTTTCTGGTCCATGATTTTTCTGATATTTCAATTCGGAAATTAAATACAATGGAAAAAGCTTAAACCGGCTACTTATAATCAATTTACACATAATCACTAATTTTTGCTTTATACGAGTAGTACTTAAATTACACCTACATAATATTAGTAAAAAAATTTGAATATCTTCAATTGACTTGACCGCTCAAATAGTTCGTACAATCTAACTATAGAGTGTTGTCATGTCACTTATTAGTTATCATTTTTATTAGTGGTGTCATGTCACTTATTAGTTTTTCCAAAAAAAATTCTAAAATAATTAATAATATTTATTTAATAACTTGCACTATTAAAAATTTATTATCAGTGATTCTAATTGAAAAAAAAATATCGCTAATGCAGTACTATTTGAAAAATGTCTTAATTTATAAAAAATAATTATGAATAAAATATTCTGTTATTAAATTTAATTAATATTAAATTTATTTCTTTTTTATTAAAGCTATCAGCATCCCAAATAAATTCAACGAAGCATTCTATAACGTAAGTCTACCACCTTGCCCATACTTCATTATACTTTATATACATAAGTAGTTTTCATTTAAAGTACTTAACATATTATATATGTTAAATACATACAAAATTTTTTTTTATTAATATATTTCAGAATATTGAAAAGCAATTTTTAATTAAAAACTATACAGAACTTAAAAAGAATAAAAATATAACAAAAATGATGGAGAATATAGCTTTAAGGTTATGTACAAATAATAAGCAACCCAAAGAAATCATTCATTGTATGCAGGATATTTTTGGAGGAAATTGGAATTGTTTTATATTTTACGGAAATCACTCATATTATTTTACATTTAATGCTTATATTACATTGAAATCAAATTCTAAGTCGTATTGCTTATTTTATTGATAACATATATTATTTAAATAAAAATATACAATACATATGTATGCATGTTTACGTTATACTACATACATAATTTTTATTTACTACATACATAATGTATGTAGTAAATAAAATCATTTATATTTTTGCCTTTATTTTGTGTACTAATGTAAACAGATTATTATATTCCTATTATTATAATTAAGCTATTAAAATATTTGCATATTTTATTAACATTATTTTGTTATTATTAATTACAACGATAAAACTTTTTGATATTTAAAATATTTATGATCTTTAAATTAATTTGACAAATATACTAAAATTGAATATATTAGAATAAGTACGCTGCTTATTTCGAGTATTATTACTACACGCTTTAGATATCGACGGTAAGTCTATATCATGTCATATTATAAAATAAAATATAAAGCAAAATATTCTATACCATTTTAATAGTATGCATATCTGTCGTTAAAAGCGCCAAAATCGTTTAATATTTTTTAATAAATTGTAAACATAATATTAAGCTTTTCATCTATCAAAAGCATTAATGTCAAGATAAATACAACACAAGGCTTCTCTTATATCAAAAAATGTCACATCACTTCAATTTTGAAAAGTGCCAAACCTTTTTTTGTTAAAGTAATCTAAAAAATCGAAACAATTAAATTTTTACTAATTTTTTAATAAAATTTATTATTATAAAAAATGCCGGTAATAATTTTTTGAAATTCTTTAGAATAAGTTTAATCAAAAATTATTTATGTAGGTACACGAATTTAAAGTGGAAATGACTTGCGAAGGTTGTTCCAATCAAGTCAAAAAAGTTCTTGGGAAATTAGGCGGTATGTAAATAAAACCTAAATATGAATTTTCTATTTACATACTTCAAATATACTCCATAATTTTAAATACTAAAACTCCCAATACATAATATTGTGTACTATATGCATAATTATGTACATAAAAATATCTACAATCTTCATATGTACTTTATAAATTAAGAGTATTACTTAAAAATATGTATATATTTTTAGATAAAATTCAAAATGTTGATATTGACTTAGATAAGAAAATTGTTCATGTAACATCGGATATATCAGGTGATGAACTTTTAGAAGTAATCAAGAAGACTGGAAAAGAAACAAGCTATGTAGGAGAAGCAAAGTAAAATACTTTTATCGAAAAAATGATAAGATATTATTTTTCTTTAAAAATCAAACCAGATATTTTTGCTTTTATTTGAATTTATTTACATTATATAATTTAATTATTTTTGTGCAATTTATTGTATTTTAAAAATTAAAGGCACTGAATTATCGTTATTAAGTAAACAATTAATATATTAATTGCATATTTGCATGTAAAAAGTACATTATGTAAAAAGAATATTACCTTATACAAAATAGATCAACTGTATTTTTATTACAAATTAAATTTTAAAATTATCGAATACATAGAAATGCATATTTGAAGTATGCTACTATATGTTACCTATGTCTTTTAATTAAAATTCAATGTTAAATGGAAAATGTTTTGCTGTTCTTAGTTGTGAAAATGGTATTGTACGGTGTTTTGTGTTAAAACTGTCCATAACTTTCATTTCATCGGAATTCAATTCAAAATCGAACACATCAAAATTTTGCTTGATTCTTTGTGGATTTACTGATTTGGGAATCGGCACAACACCATGTTGAATTAAATATCTTAACACAACTTGAGTTGCAGTCTTTCCATGTTTTGATGCAATTGCTTCCGTTTTTTCATCAAATAAAAATGATGGTAATTTCATTTCAGGTTTTGGCCTTGCTAATGGGCAATATGCTGTTATTATTATATCATATTTTTTAGAAAAATCAATTAATTTTTGTTGATTAAATCCGGGATGACATTCAACTTGATTTGTCACTGGTTTAATGGTACAATTTTCAACAATTCTCTTTGTTTGTTCGCTATTGAAATTTGAAATACCAATCGATTTCGTTAAACCTAATGGAACTAATTTTTCCATTGCTTTCCATGTATCTAAATAATCAAAATCCATTCCAACTGGAAAATGTATCAAATATAAATCTACATAATCCAATTGTAAATTAGATAATGATTCACGGCAAGCTTTTTCAACTACATTTGGATCATGATGATGGCTAGCTAATTTTGTTACAATAAATAAATCTTCACGTTTGACAACACCTTCTTGAATTTTTGCTCGAACAGCACGACCAACTTCAGCTTCATTTTCATAAACATATGCTGTATCTATATGTCTATAACCACAATCAATTGCACATTTAACAGAAAATTCTGCATCATTTTCATATGAACGCCAAGTTCCCAAACCCAAAACCGGCATTTCATTTCCATCATTTAATTTAACCTTTGGGGCTAATTTTAACGCCATTTTTTTTATTTATATTGTATTTGTTAACCTTTAGATAAGACAATATAATAACCAGATTTTAAGAAAGTTAAAAAAAGTATTTATTTTTTCTTTAGCGTTGAATGACAAGTGAAAACTGACCAGCAATTGGATCATAACACAATTTATATAGTTTTATGATACCACTACCTGTAAGAGGAATGATGACGTCATCGTAAACTACTTTCAAAGTTTAAAAAAGCTTTTCATAAGATTTCGTCACTGATGGAATTCCCATAATTTAGTAAATAAACATTCAAAATCTAACAATTGTGTTGTAAAAGGTGACGTATCAATCGGCCTTTTTACACTGATATTCTTTTGAATAAAGCTCTTGACTTCATATTCTGTTTTATGTACTTATTAATGTACATATGTATATATTATGATTCATAGATTTTTTGCTTTTTTTATACAACATGATGTAAAATAAATCTCATGAAAAACATTTTCTGTGCGGTGTGCCGCATTCATTTCATACGAGTGTAAAAAATACCAATAAAAATAAAAAATATATAAACTTTAAATTTGACCACTTGAAAGACGCAATATTTAGGACTAAATAGTGTATCTTACTTTTATTTATTATTTTACCCGCCAAGTGATGCCTAAATTAGGTTCAACAAAATGACTTCCGAAATTAGAAGCGGAATTCAGAACAAATCAACAATAAATCATAAAATTTCAATATATAAAGTGTTTAGTATTTTCCTGAAACTTAATCTTGTTTATTCTGCTTTTATTTACTCGATTTGATTATTAATGTAACAAAATTACATTTTTAAACCTATTTATTTTTCAGATTTAAAAATATAATATTTTAATATATTTTTTTTAATATAAAATTGATCTAATATAATGAAGCTTCAAGACGTGGATCGACAGTTTTAGGTGGTTTGGGATCCTCAAATTCACCTAATTCTGCGTCATAATATAATGCAGCTCTAAATGGTCTTAATTCCCATGGTACTTGGCTTTCCATTGTTGTTAAATGTACATCCAAATCTTCTAAAGTGGGTACACCTCTTTCAACTTTATCTGTAATACATTCTCGTTCAATACGTTCCATATGTAATTCGCCTATTGGATTTCCAGGGCAAATTAATTCTGTAAGTTTAGCTTTCAGAGTAAAAGTTGGGTCGTAACGCATATCATAGCGCAAATAGCCCCACCATTTTTCATCTTTGCGCATTACACGATGGAACCAATCTACCAATTCGCTCAAAAGGTATCGTTTTGGCCTTAAAATAATATTTGAAATTTGTGTGAATAACTTCTATTTAATTTTCGAAAATCAGCTTACCCAACAGCTTGATAAACTTTTCCAGCAGTATCTGGATCTTTGCAACAATTGACTATAGCCTGAGCTACGTCACTTACACAAACAGGCTGTTTAATAGTGCGTTCTCCTTTGTACCATAAGGGCATTCCACGGAGTTGCCTACGCCAGATATGTGCATAATAACGTAAGAACCTATCTTCTTGGCCATACATATCGGATGGCCTAATAATAGTTGCTTCAGGAAATTCAGATCTTACTGCTTCTTCGCCATGGAATTTACTTTTAAGAAATCCACTGCCATTTGGTAAAATATGTGGTGTTGGATATGGATCAGCATTTAAAGCTGAAACATGAATTAAGCGCTCGACTCCCATTTCTTTACATATCCTAAAATTTTAATATTTTTATTTTTAAACTCACTTATAAAAACCGGCAATATAATTTACCTGGCAATGCGGCGAGCACCATCTACATGCACATCATTAAATTTAAAATTTTTGGTTTCAAAATCACGACCCACCAAATTAATGACAACATTAGAGTATTTTACAGCTTCTCTAATGGAATGTTCATCATTTAGATGAAAGAAGTGAAAAAGAACTTGTCCTAAATCACCACAAACTTTCAATCGAATAACTTCACCGTGATCTCCTCTGTATGGTAATATTAGTTGTGTGCCTATTTTACCAAGCTTATTGCAAACATAACGTCCTAAAAATCCTGAGTTTCCAAATACAGTGGCAACAATACCATTAAAACTGCTGCGTCCACCAGTACCACGTTTAAGGGCAGCTAAATCTGTTGTTTTTAATGGTCGAGGTCCATCAGTTGCATACGAAGCCCTTAAACATACAATACCTAATGCCCCAGTTTGTTGCTCTATAAAATAATAAATATAAATTAAAAATTTTATTTTTATATTCAATTTAGCCAGCTGATATTACAATGGAAATCTTATAACCTCAAGTAAATTACATAATAAAAAACATACATAACATAAATTGAACTAAATTTTTTCTTAAAATTGATGGCTTACTTGCTATTTGAGCACTTTTAAAAAGCATTAAAGATGCCATTATTACAATGGATCCTAAAAATAAATTTTAATTTTAGTATTCTTAATTTAAAAAGTTTTGATTACACAAATTACCGTCGACAAAAAATTTTTCATATGTCAGATTTCATGACAGTATTTGACATTTGAAAAATATAAACATAAGCCGCCATTCAATAATAAATATTGCGAAGTAGCGGCGCTTATTTTATTGATAAGCCTAAAGAAGATTCACTAAAGCTAATGTTATCGATATATATTATTTTAACCTACAATGCGAGTCGTGCGGCAAATATACGAAGTGGCGAATTTCAAATAAACTCAGAGTAATTTAATGGAATTTGCATTGTTAAATTCTGTTAAAATTAAAAAATCTCATAAATTAATATAAAAAGATTTAATAATAATAAACATATTCTACTAATTTGAAGGAGCTTATTGGAAAAACATTGCTCGCTGAATATTTATTTTTAATTTCCTGGGTAATACAATTTCTTAATTTTATAGTACTGCACATATAGTAAAACTACGTACTTTTACTTACGTTCAAACCTAGTTATATAATAAATATAATAGATTGTTATATAATAAATATACCAAATACTATTATACTACACCGTTATACCGAATATGTACTATACATTAAGTATGTAAATTAAGCTTTAATAGAAAATAATATTGTCTTTTCAAAACATTTTAATTGTTAGACTATAGCTCAATTAACGAATGAGATAATTAATATTTTTTTATTTTTAATATACATAATTAATAATTTCAATTATATAATTGCTATATTCTAGACTTTCCTTTGCTTAGATATTCTAGACAAAATATTTGAAATAAACAAAAACAAACACATAACATTTACATGCATAACGTACATATATGATATACCAACAGCAAATGTAAAGAAATTTTCCTATCAAACGTTATATATTATAGGATCTAAAAATCTACATTTAACTCTATATTTATAATTAAATTAAAATATTCAGCTTCTTTCCTATTATTGAAAATTTTTAGCATAAAATTTAACAAAACAAAGAAAAAACCTAAAATATATACCAAATATTTTAATTTCATTAACATAGATTTATTGTGTGCCACAAATTATGACCATTAAACAAATTATACCTATGTATGCCTATGTATGCATGTATTTACTTTCAGCTACAATTTTTTTACGATCGATTTCTTTCAAAATTAAACTGAAAATTATCAAGTAACAAATGAAATGAAAACAGAAAATGAAAATATTTAATTGAAAAATAGAAAATTGAAAATAACCCTTCTATGTACGTATGTAAAATAAAAACAATTATATACGATAAAAATAAAATACAAGATCGTAAAACTGACGATCGTTAAGTACGTACAAATACATGCATAAATAGAAAAACAAAAAATGTTATCTTTCCGTTTTTATTTTTTTTTGCTTTTTTTTTTTAATTATTTAAATACGATTTTGTTGTGAATTATCCGTTAGTTAACGATAAACTGTCAAGCAGAAAATAAGTGAATTTACCGCTATATTAAAAATTTTGTATATTTTTCATATAAGTGTAACGTAAAAAAAAAATTAAGAGAGCAATTTAAAAATTTTCGCAAAAAAAATTCAAAAATTTTATCGCGGTTTTTTAGTTTCAGTATATAAGAAACTTGAGCAATATAACAAGTGAATTTTAAAATAAAAATAATTAATTACAGAAATATTAATTTTTATTTATTTTAATTGAAAATAAATTATAAATACGTAAATATCTATATTTAATTATAAGAAAAGAAAAAAAATTTTTATGATAATCTCAATTTTGAAAAATTTCAAATTTTATTTTTTGTGGTGAATTTTGAAACAAAAAAAAAAATACTTGAGTACAATATTAATTGTGGTTTTTAATCTGAAAATAAATTTTTTATCTTTAATATTTTTCTTTTTAACTAAAAAATGTTTAGAATATTATTTGACGGATAATTATAAACAAAATTTTCATAAGGTATTTTTTATTTAATGAAATTTAATTCTATATAATTTTAATTTTTCATTTCATTGCACTAGTGCGTATAATTACACATACATTATATATATAAATGTGTTCCAAATTTTATATCGTAAAAATACGAGTTCAAATTTTATTCATAAACATGTTCTATGTTGTAACTCTGCTAGCTAACATGGTTATGTTATTAATTTTAAAACGTTTTTAAATATTTTGTATGAGAATTTTTCGGGGAAAATCACCAAGAGTATAGAAATTCGATTTAATTTTAATTGATATAAATTAAAAATTAATAATTTTCATTTAAATTCAATTCAATAATATAATATTAAATAGAAAATATCGGGATTATCCGGCTGTTAACGTTCTAACAGTATATGCTTTCTGTTATATTGTAATTTATGTTATTTTTTAAATTTATAATTGAATTATATAATTGAGATAATGAAGTTGATTATCAATGTGACACAATGATTATTTTGATTGATATGATTATATATACATATATAATTATAAAATTATTTAAATTATAATCGGTAAATAAATGACTGAAAAAAAATAATTGACCCTTATAGAATTCTTCCATAATGTTAATAAAATAATTCTTAAATTTTAATTTTAATTAATAATATTAAATCAGATTCAATTTCTTTGTTTTATCATATATATATATATATATGTACATAAATAACATTTTGCTTTGTAAAAGGATTAAGTACCTATATTGTCTTTTGTAAAAATTTTCTAATCTTTCGCAAAAATTCCAAGTAGCTATATAAATTGAAAAAAAAACAACAATAATAATAACCACATGTTGAATTGTAAACATCGAGTTGCAATTTTAATTTCATACTTACATACATACATAATCACAATTTCTTTTTACATTTAAAGCACATACCAAAATACAACTCTAAGGTCAACTTGACATTTTATCAAATAAAGTAGATTTGCTGATCAGTGTGTATTTTAGTTAAATGCCCTTAAATTATAAAATATTTTCGGTAAATACCGGTTTTACGATATTTTTGAAAAAAAAAATATAGTTAAATTTATTTTACAATTTATTAAAATTTAAAATTTTATAAACCAGCACTTTTCATAACTTGAGATAATTAAAAATTTTGTTTGGTTCAATTTAAAATTTTAATTTGCTTAATTGATTGCACTATTATACTAAGTATTAAACTAAGATTTTTCTAATTAATTCTTAGATAATTATATTTAATAATTAGTTCTATTATAGTTTTTACTTAATATTAATTTCCAAAATTTACGTACATTAATAATTTACATTTCATACGCTAGGTGGGATTTATTAGAAAATTTATAGAAAATAATTTGACAATATTATGACTTATAATTTTATGTTTTACGTCAGATTACATTGCTTAAAAATTATTTAAACCCTAAACTACTCATATAATTATGTATTTAGTTAAATAAGTGTATATCGTATGTTGTACCTTATGTGAATTCTTTTAGCAAATTACATATTTAAGTACCTTACCATAGACAAGAAACACATATAATAAAAACAAAATCTCATTGGTTTTTTACAGCGTATACGTACTTTTATGATTTTAAATTTCATATATGAATAATTTGTTAAAAACTGGAATATTTAGGGAATATCAAATATTAATTAACAAGCTTAATACAAGTATTTTGTAATAAATGTGTAAATATTGCAAAAATAATAATTTCTCCTATTTAAAACTTAGTTCAAAATAAAGAGCTCAAATTACTCATATGTAATTAGGTTATGTACTATATTTATATACGTATATTGTTAATACTTGTATATAATACAGGGTGTTTATAAATTTTAGAATAAATTTTTAATGTTATAATTTGCAAAAAAAAAAAAATATTAATTTAAAATAATTTATGATAGAATTTAAGTTTTAAAAATTTAACAAAAATTTAATTTAATCGAAATGATTTGCAAATTATATACATATATAGTTATTTTAAAAAAAAATTTTACAAATTTTATTTTTTAATAAATTAATTTGCATTTAATAATACGCTTTTGTATTTTTACTCATTTATATATGAAATCATTTTGCGATATTAACAAATGAATTGTGCAAAATTCAATTTGTTTTTTGACTTAAAAAATTAATTAAATTATTGAAATTATCAAAACGAAATAAAATCAGATTTGCTACTAATTAAACTGGTAAATAGTGGTATTCTTAATTCTATATGAAAGAGCAAAAAATAAAGATGACAGGAATTTTGAATGAAACATTTTTACATCGGTGCAGTGACAAATTCATTATAACATGTACTAACCACCGTAAAGTGATTATAGTAGTTAATATAATTCATGCGAAAATAAATTATTCTTATGTACTCCGATATTAACTCGTATATACTTTCCCTATTTTCCCATTTGACATTTTAAACTAGCGAAATAACAAATTTTTATATTTAGTTTACTGTGATTTTATAATTGATTACAAATACAATTTCTTTATTATTAATTACTGAGGGTTATTCAGTATTAATTTATTACGATATCAAAATATGATACGATATAATATTATACGTTTTACGATATAACATTTTTATTCGTACATTCTTCCCATTTACTTTTCAATTTTAATTATTGATAATATAACAATAAATCAAAAGATTGTAATTAAAATATTTTACTTGTAAATGTAATCAATGCTATTTTTATATGAAATTTGATAAAATTTGAAGATGGCAACCATTTTTAATAATGTACATATGGCTAGGATATCATAAAATTTAAAAAAGCAAACAACAATAGAAAATTTAATTTATTAAATAAATTTAAAAACTAAGTTTCTAAGAAAGAAGATAAAGGTTATATTTATCAAGTACCTACTATACTAGCTAAACTAATAAAATATCGAATCAAGTTATTTATATTTACTTAATGCATTATGTACTTAAAATTTTAAATAAATGCTTCCTATAAATAATATAAGGTACTTGTTAACTGTTATAATCCAAAAGTACTCTTCGACATTGTAACTAAAATTATATGGTTTGGTTCAGTTACCTACAATAAAATATATATTTAATATAGAAATTCGGGATTTCCGATTACACTTGAAAAATTTATTATGACAACAAAATTGAGTACTTAGTAAATTGTATTGTACCTATTGTAATCTAAAATCTTTTAATATTATTAATGTTATATACATGTGCATTTTAATATAGTTCAATGCTCCTTTACTACACATTTTTATAATAAAAACAATGACAAAAGAAAAAATAAATAGAACAATTAATTTTATACAAAAACAAAAACTAATTCCTAATCGATTAAGATGCCTCCACCTTTAAAACTATGATAATATTAAAAAATTTTAAAATTGAATTAGTCTAATTATAATTAAACAATACTAATAAGATTACCAAAATTAAATTAAATCCCGTAAAGAAAAAACAAAAAAGAAAAATAAATAATTATAAAAAACATTTGAACTTAAACAAACAAATAAATTTATCACAATTTTATAAAAGAATTTTTAAATTGAACTTAAAAAACAAATTAAAAAATACAAAAATTTACGCGCCATACAAACTATATTTTACACTTTAAATTCTATAAAATCTACATACAAACATACATATATACATATATAAGAAACCTCACGTGTTTTTATTTTTATTCTTGACAGCATTTTTTTGTATTTTCGATTGAAGAGAAAGCATTCTTTAAAAAATAAATTACGTATTTTAGTAGTAAATTTCAAAACCACATGACGTTTCGAATGTACTATGGCATCATAGTAAAATGAAATTAAATTATCTCTTATTTTCTCTTCTAATTTAGTTTAAGTTTGTGTTATACTCAAAAATATTACTTGAGTTTTTGTTGTAACAAAGTCTCTTCAGTTTTATATATCAATAAATTGGGAATGATATAAAAATTGTCGAATTCCTAAAATGGGGCTTAAGAACTAAATATACGTAATTAATGGATTTTGTTTGATGAAAATTGGATAACGTTCTAGTTTTGGTATCAAACAAATATCAAACATTCATCAAATCAAACAAAATTCTTTAATAAATTTTTTGTTAGTGTAAACTCCTTCAAAGTCATTTAAAGAATAAAATTTCATTAAATTATTCATTAAAAAAATAATTCTACACGATTTTCTTTTAATAGGAATCAATAATTTTTAAATAAAATTTTAACAATTCTATTAATCAATTATTTAATTACAAAAATTCAAAGTTTAATAACCGGATTACAAAATAGAATTTTTATTTCAAGTACACCAACTTAAAATAATCTCAATACAAAGTCAAAAAAAAAAAACCAAAAGTTACATAATCTATTAATTTTTTTTTTTGCAAAATCTTAAATTATTCAAAATATTTTTAGATCCTTAAATTCGATTATCTTAAAATTATTTGTAAGTATATAGAACGCCTCCAGTTATTCCTCCAACACCTAATCAACTTTTAATCCCAAAATATGATGTCACATTTTTAACAATATTTTTAGCAAAATTTGATTTTTTAGATAAAATTCAACTATTATAGAATTACATAACTGCTATCTACTTACAATCAACCAACCATCAGTATTATTATTATTCCCTTTTCAATAATTATATTGAATGTCAAGATCAATTTTACTATTGCGAGAAAAAAAAAATGAGTGATAATTTGTTTATTATTGTAAATAAATTGAGTGACAAAAAATATATTGTCGATTAGTTGAAAACGGGCTAAGTCAAAAAATTGAGTTTTGTATAAAAAGTATTTCAATTTTGAATAAAACATGTTCTAGTATATAAAATGGTTGGCTAATTACTTTTAAAACTAATGATATATCTTAAAAATCATTATTATCTAGACATAGTAGCAATTATTAGAAAGCAAAGATTTAATAAAAACTGATTTAACGCATTCCGGATATTAACCGATGATATTACGCCAAATACAGAAGCATAACAAAAAATTTCAAAAGTAAAAATCATTCCAAAACATTGTAAGAT